GGAAAAGAAAACAAATATGCAGCTGCCCCTCCCGCCCTCCCCTCCCCAGAAACCTTTCTAGGAAGTTTGCTTGGCTTAACTGGGAAAGCGCAGGACAGTTGCTGCTGTTGACGAGCATTGCAGCCTGCCACGCTAGGAAGGATGGATTTTGTCCTTGTGCCTCTGTGGGGTTGCAGCGGGATTATGGCTCATGTGAGCAGGGGCTTGTGGGATGCTGCCCGCTCGCCCCCTCAACACAGGGGGGGAAACTGGGCTGGGAGCGCGGCTGCCTGCTGTGGGTCACGGCAGACTGAGATGCCAGGGGTTCGTACAAGCCCTCCGAGTTTAGCAACTGGCACGAGGTTCAGATCACCTCAACCTCCATACCCAGAGGGAGAGGAGTGTGGAGTGATGAGGTGAAACCAGCCACCAGCTGGCTTGCCAGGACCTGGTAATTAGCTCAGTGCAGTGCCAGCCGGAGCGCGGCTGCCTGCTGTGGGTCACGGCAGACTGAGATGCCAGGGGTTCGTACAAGCCCTCCGAGTTTAGCAACTGGCACGAGGTTCAGATCACCTCAACCTCCATACCCAGAGGGAGAGGAGTGTGGAGTGATGAGGTGAAACCAGCCACCAGCTGGCTTGCCAGGACCTGGTAATTAGCTCAGTGCAGTGCCAGCCTTATTAAGGGCAGCGCAGGTGATGATGACGCTGGCACACTGATTCATTACATCTGGAGGGGAAAATCCGCCTAGTAAATGCTGAAGCACAGTAAATATTTTTGGCTCCTCACAGATTGATCCTTGCATTATGCTGATTAGCCTATATTTGTGGAACTGACGAAGTTAAAAATAAGGTTGGTGGAAAGCTACAAAGAAAGGATTTGCATTTTATGGCCACCAGCAATAAACTTTTTTTATTTGTTTTTTTTTTTGGGTGGTAAAAATTTCAACACTTTATTTTTTTCTCCCCATTCCCTTCTTTGGCTCTAGGTTTCACTGTTAGGTGAAAGCCCATAAATTATTTTCTCTTGGCAGTAATATTCTGGAAGGGAGCTGTAAATCTAGAGCACACAGAGTTGGGAAATTTTCTGAAAGAATTCTTTTGCAAATACGTGGTGCAATCCTGCAAAATGCTTCGTCCCTGACAGTCCTTAGGGGGTGGTACGGACGTATCAAAGCATGTAGCAGCATGTGTACTCAGTGAGACTGGATGCTTTGGACTTTCCTGTGAGCTAGGGGGCTTTACGAGCTTTAGTTCATGGAGGTAAATGATTAAACCAACTTCTGACTGTTGCTGTTTTGTTTTCCTACATTCAGGCTCTCACCTGAACTTTCGCTGCCTGGTATATGCTGTTGGGATATCTGTAAGGGATCGCCCAGGAATGGTGGATCACTTGCTGCCTACTGATGAATCCTTTCAATCTACAAGATCTTCTCTTGGATACTTTGGGGACATGACAGCAGGGGTGAGGTCCTACCAAATGCTGCCCTCTCCCCTGTCAGAAGATGACAGCGACTCGTCCAGCTTTTGTTCTTGTTCCAGCCCTGACTCCCAGGTTCTCAGCTCCAGCTATGGAAGCACGTCCAGTGCGGAAAGTCAGGACAGTATCTTAGACTACTTATTGTCCCAGGCATCGTTGGGGAGCACTGCTGGGACATGGTGGGACAAAAGGAGACTTCAGCCAATCGTGAAAGAGGAGTACTTTAGGTTGCCTGAATTTGCTGTGGATATGGAAGACTCAGGACCATTTCAGCCCACACTTGAGGAAATTGAGGAGTTTCTGGAGGAGAATATGGAGTTGGAGCTCAAAGAAAGACCTAAAAGCGAGACCAAGGACTTGAGAGCTTGCAGCCAAGTTTCTGTTGCTTCGCTACAGCAAAAAGACCATATGTTACCCAGTGCTGGTTTAAAAGAGAGCAAAAATGAACAGTTGAGCAGCGCAACAGAAGGTGTCCAAGCTTCAAATGGAGGAACGTCCCTGGAGAATGGAATACCGGTTATGCTCCAAATTCAGCCTGTACAGATCAAACAGGAGTCCAACACGAGCCCCAGTTCCCAAGGACCATCACAAGAGAACATTAAAATTGCACAGCTCCTAGTCAACATCCAAGGACAGACATTTGCCCTTGTGCCTCAGATAGTTCAGTCGTCCAATTTGAACTTGTCCTCTAAATTTGTCCGCATCGCTCCCGTCCCCATTGCCGCCAAGCCAATTGGGCCAGGAGGCATGATCCAGGGTCAGACAGGAATCATCATGGGTCAGAAATTTCAAAAGAACCCTGCAGCAGAACTCATTAAAATGCACAAATGTTCTTTTCCTGGTTGTACCAAGATGTACACGAAAAGCAGCCATTTGAAAGCCCACCTGAGGAGGCATACAGGAGAAAAGCCTTTTGCATGCACGTGGCCGGGTTGCGGATGGAGGTTAGTATCGGGGTGCAGCACTGTCCAATCCCCCTTCCCCTTTTTGCTCACTTGACCGAACTTGCCAAGCAAGTAGGTTTGCACTCTGTTTTATAAACTGTCTCTGTTCCCAAAACTTGTTCAGTTGGTTTGAGAATTAAGAACTTTTTCTTCCTGTTAGGTAATCCAAGACCTTTGATAAATTAATTAGCAGAGCATCACCTGCTGGCACCAGCTGTTTAAGTGTCTTCAAAAAATAAGTGGTCCATCATAATTTGTATTTCATTCCAAGAGGGTCAGATTAAGCTTGTTACCACAGGCAATACCTTGCGTTCACATCAGTGTGGTTGCAACACACCAGCTGCAGCAGATGCATGGCTGGTACCAGCTGAGGGCTGTAAGTGAACTGGATGCTTTAGGGCAGAATCACTGTGTGTGGCCCCAACTGCGTGGGGCTAAATGTGACCACTGAAGGGCTCTGATAAGCAAGTGTGGTTAAGAGCAGTATTCTGTGCAGTTTCATAGAAAATGCACTCTGTCCCGCTCCTTCTGGAAGTGCTGGCAGTGACAATCTGGCATGCTCTGGGTTTTATTCTCTGCATTGATTCAGGAAAATGCGTGGGTGCCACTCAAAGTTGCAAAAAGCTGTCAGATGTAACAACATAACCAGAAGGCTGAGGTGGAGTTAAGCATTGCTTGAATGAAAGATTGCAGGTTTGATTGAGCAAAACCTTTTGCAGGGGGTATCTCTTGAATGACTTCTATTATTAATTTCTATTTTTAATACTAGTTGAAAAATTAAAACTTTGTTAAAAAAAATCAACTTTTTATTTTAAGGAAACTTTGATGGGAGCCTTCCTCCTTCTTTCCAATTAGCTGTATTACTAGCCTGTGTGCTGGCAAGTGTTAATATACAGCATCACAAATTATGATGGGAGAAACCAAAATCTTAACTCCCTTGTATTAAATTAAACCAGACTTCTTTAAAAAAATATCCTGCAGAGCTTCAGCGAGCAATGTGTAATGAGGAAATGGGCTGTGATCATGAGGAACAGACGAGGTAAAAAGTAACAGGAGAGGGTTGTGTAAAAATGCAAGTGAGACACGCAGTAGTTAGAGATGGCTGGATTGGTTTGAGGGAAAAGGTCAGAATGGGGCCAGTTTGACGTTTGCCTCTCGGAAGGACTGAGGAGATCAATGCAATTAATTTCTTTGGTGATTTTTCTATCCTGTTTGAGTTTATGGTGGCTCTACAGACTGGTGATGGTTTTCTTTCCTTTTGTGCTGGTGGCACTTCTCATGAGCTGGGCTCAGTGGCTTGCTGCTCAGGATACACTGAAATTAAAGCCATATTATTTAGCTGATTGGTCCCATAAGCCACAGGCTGGTTTGCTCCTGACCTGCAGTAGAGGTGCTTGCTCCTTTTTATTGGGTTGCCAGAGTACGTGTGCACAGGCAGCAGATGTGCCTCTTGCCTGTGAACGTGCCTATGGGTGTCTTGTTGGCTTTCCTTGCGCTGGGATGTGAGCAAAACTCTCATTTTTGTGATAAATGCATGTGGCACCTGAGGGTTTGTCTGACCCATGCTGAGATTTATACCAACAATCCCAGTGACTTTTGTGGCTCCAGATCAGGAGCCTGAAGTGTTGCCTGTGGGTGACCTTCTCCAGCTCTGTCTTATTACAAAGCTGGTGTTTCCCAAGCTGCAAAACCAAGGGGAACATTCAGGAAAAATATTAAGTGGTAAAGGGTGGAGATGGAATTTACGCCAGGGTGCCTGCCTTTTCCCAGTGTTGGTGTGGATCGAAAGCAGGATGAAGGTGTAAGGTGGGCCAAGAGAAGTGCAGGTCGCATAACTGGGAGCACCCTGGACTTTTACTCTCAGCCAGCCACAACTTTTTAAAGATGAGGAGCCCAGCAAGGATGAGAAATTAATCACCTTAGCTACAAGGAACGTGCGTCTTGCCCCCAAACAGCTGCTGGAAGGGCTTCTTAAACTCCCTGTTGCTGTTTATCTTGTTGCATTTCACAGCCCGGGCTGGAACCCCAATCCTCAACACCCCCAAACTTTGGAAGGGCTCTGCTCTGAGGGGGGAGGTTTATATCCAACAGGAAAGGTGGTACTTGGGGAGCTGCTTCCTGCGCTAACAGCAATCCTTAGCACCAGCCTGAGATTCCTGTGCATCCCCTATGTGCTGCTTCTGCATCAAAGGCCAGACCCAACTGAGCACTGAATTACTCAGTCCCCTTTCATCAATAAAGCATGTTTACCTTATCCAGAAGTACAGCGAGAGCTGTGATCTTGCATGACTTAAGTCAAATGCATCTGGACTGTTTGCTCCCAATTTTATATCATCTCAAATGAATTTAAGCACTAAAACACTGCTGGGCTCTGCTTCCCCCTCCTTTCCTTGCATTCTTGTGCTTGCGTATTTATTTTTTCACCAAAGACACTTAAGATCTGACCTCACTGAAGACAGTAATTTCAAAAACAAACCGAAGTGTTGCCTAGCACAGAATGGCTGAGCTGTGGGGGTTAAAGCTTTCCTAGCTCTCTGGGCAGCCTTTGCTATGGTGAAGTTGCATGCTTTAAATGCACCAAGGTAGGGATGTGCACACAGCAGACCCTTTTGCTAACACCTAGGACAGCTGGAGGGTCCCAGGCACCTCCCTGAAGGAGGCTGAACCCTGCTTGCTTGTGTCCTTCCTTGGCACAGGGCAAGAGCTGTTTTCGGCAGGCTGCAGAGAGGCGTTCGTAAGTGGCCGGTGACCCGTTGCGGTCGATACCCCGCTGTACTGGTCAGCGCGCTGATCCGTGTCATGCCAGCTTATACCTTTGGCACATGGCAGCTTCTGGTTAGCGCTGCTTCTGAGACAGCCCTGACCAAAAAAAGCTGAGCTGCAGCACGGGCCTCTCCCCAGCAGCTGTGTTTCGCCATGGAGCAGGAGAAGCTCTTTCTTTCCCTCCGCTGGCACAGCAGCATGCAAGGCTGCAGCTGTTGTAAGGCCTGGGGGATTAGGCAATGGCGTTTACATGCCCTGCTGCATCGTTGGGCTGGAGATGCTACCCCGCAGGCGGCTCTGCAGGTGACAGTGTGCAACACAAGCTCTGCTGGGTTTGGTAGGGAGGGTTTAAAGGCTTGTAATGCACATGGCTGGGAGCGTGTATGGGACCGGGTGAGCGTGGGGAGGACCACGCGTGGGACAGGTCAGGGCAGGTGTCTTGCAGTGGCCTTTTTTTTTGCTGGTGCTGTGCAAAGGGGTGTGCAGGTGCGCAGGAGGAGCGCTGATTTACCATAGCGGTGTTTTGGGGATAGGCAGGATGAATCCAGAGCCTCCTCTCCACTGTGGAGGAGATGTACAGCCTGGGTCAGTCTCAACGGCTGGTGGCCATGGTAGGGACCATGGACTATGAGGCTGAAGCTATTGACCTTTCTTGCCCTGTGAGCCACATAGTGATGCCTTTGTTTGGCTGGGAGACACAGGACACATCCTACACATCAGGGAGCTCTAGGATTTGTCTCCAGGGAATATGTACTTACAGATCCTCTGGGGTCCCATCAGATAGAAAGATGAAGGAGGCTCTTCTAGTTGCTTGTGGGACTGGGGGTACCTTGTTTTTCTTGAATCTGTCATTCCACTGGGGTTTATTTGCAGTTTTCTTGGGGTGATCTTAGTGCCAGAATGTGCTACAAATATCATTTCACTGCAGAGCAGGCCACCAGATCCTCCTGGCTTCCTTGTCCTAACCTTTGTGTTGTTTTTTTGTAAACACACCGACAACTCAGGGTTTATATCTGTGGGCTCTGTAAGTTGATCTTTCCGTGACTGCTGGGGAACAGTATTGCAACATTCCTGCCTCTTCAGCTAAGGACATCGTTATGAGGCAGAGTGTATTTTTATCAGATGAACTCATCCAAGCTCCCAGGGTATGAGCGGAGCTGCTCATTCCTGATGTGCGCCTCTTTCTCCCCCACCATCTGTGCAATCTCCATCTAAATGCACTTGCGGAGCTCTTGTGCAGGATTAGCTGTATGCTACTGCACTTCTGTTGCAGATGATGACATGGGACAAGGCAACTCGGCCACATCTGGTTTTATTCCTTCTCTGAGTGATAAGCCTGTATATAAGAAGACATCTCTTTGCAAAGGTGCTTTTCCTTCTCTGCTCCCTGTTTTCCCTGGACATGGTTGCCACTACTGGCCACAGGTCCATTCCTTGTCCAGGAGTGAGTCCTGCTGAGGCAATCTGTACAGGCAACATCCTGCCCTCGCCAGAAAGATGCTTAAGTTCCACGCATCCGTAGCTCTAGAAGAGCCTCCCTCCAGGGATGTGGCACTGGGACTAGCTCACTGCTAAGGACCTGAAAGAAATCCTGGCTCTGCTGCTCCCAGGTCCGTACTGTGGTTTTAGGAAGCTGTGGCTGGAAGGAGTAGGGTTGCTAGAGAAAGCAAATATGCAGTACTAGGGGCAAAGAGAAACCCGTGTTGTAGCCTTTACGAAGAAGACATGTCCTAGGCGAAGAACAGATTGATGGCTCTGTTAGGGCATCTGCCTGTTGCTCTTAATGGTGAATTTGACTCACCATGGGGATACCAAAGCAAGGACAAGGCAGAAAAGCAAGAGAATGGGTGAAGGAACCTCCTCTGGAAATGCCCCCGAGAGAGTTGTGTCCACACCATATCTTACCCATTGCCAGTACCTGCATCTGCTTTGTGCTGGCTGAGGATTCTCTCTGGGTAGCATCACCAGACTGAAGAGCTGCGGAAACTGAGGAAACCATTCCCAGCTTTCCCAGTGCCTGCACTGTGTTCCTCAGCGGGTGGTGGGAGATCAGAGCTAATTAAAAACTTTATGTGGAAACTTATTTTTCTTGCATGAAGGACTTATTCATAGGAGCCCAGTGATCCTGTTTCCCCCCTTTCATAAAAACAGCGTATTCACTCTGTTGGTGATGTGATATTTTGCTCCAGAAGGGCACATTTTTCTACATGTTCTTTCACCCATTTATTCAGCTAGTGCCCATGACTTCATTTATTTATTGTAAATAAATAGCTGATACCATTTCTTGCAAGCGCTCTTTCTGTGCCGCTCTTTGTTACTGCTCTGGCAACAAAACACTTAATTGCCCTTTGTCAGGCAGCAAATTTTTGTACCCATCTGGACAGGGCTGTTTTAGTGTGACATTATTAATTAACCCTGTGGCACCCAGTCAGGTCCAAGCTGGAAAAAGAGCTGGTCCTACTGTTAAGACTGAAGGATTAGTTGATTTGAGTTCAGAAAAGCCTGTGGGATTCACAGTGGCTGTTTGGGGATTTTTCTGTGGAGATGGAAGGTGGGAAATATCTAAAATAATATTACTCTGGGAGACAATTTTGGTAATTAGAGGCTCAATCTTGGTTTCAATTTACCCGTGAAGTAACTGCTAATGGCCATTGGGGCTCAGCTGGATTTCAGCTGTGACGATGTTGAGCATCTCTGGTGCTGAGATGTTGATGACCCTTTATTTGGCCTGCAAGAGCATGTACAAAAGCCAGTTTTTTGGCTGGATCTGATAAGCCATGGAGCTTCTGTGTAGCTGTGTTTGGCTGTTATCGGAGGTCCATCTCAAACTAGGTGCAATTACCAAATGTCTGTTGTGCTTGGGTTAGTGGGAGCTTGGGGCAAACCTCACCTGCGGGATGTTGGTTGTTATCTCTGCTTGAGAATAGTCCATGCTTGGATTTGCAGGAGAGAGGTTGCAGGACAGGCTTGGAAGGGGACTGGCAGAGGGATCAAGAGTAGTGCAGTTTTAGTTGAGCTGTACCCATGTTAGTGGGTTTGGGGCAAGGTTTGTACAAACATTGCTTTCATGAGTTGTTCTGAGTCCAGAGTTGACATGGGATGGGGTTGATAATTGTGTGTTTCCATCATTGCTGCTGACTGCCAGTTGGGACCAGACCGACCTTGCTGTGCATCCCTTTCAGTTTGTGTGTTTGGGCTTTGCCACAAGTGGATTCTCCCAGTGGCCTAAGGGGACTTTTTTTTTTTCCCCCACTGTGAGAGACTTAGCAATGTAAAACCCCATTTATCTGAAAAGGCTTCTCTTCTCTTGCAGGTTCTCCAGGTCAGATGAGCTGTCCCGGCACAGGCGCTCCCACTCGGGGGTGAAACCCTATCAGTGTCCTGTCTGCGAGAAGAAGTTCGCTCGAAGTGACCACTTGTCCAAACATGTCAAGGTGCATCGGTTCCCACGAAGCAACCGCTCCGTCCGCTCCGTGAACTGATTGGTCCTGCTTTCCCCTTCCCGCCCAGCAATCCTACAACAGCTGATGACAGCACTTTGCTCACTATATTTTTAGTGATAATTTATTTGTCTCCACAGAACAGTCAATGCTGTTACTTGATACCACCATGTCTGAGTGTCCCATGTCTTTTAAAGATGATTTGAGAATGAAGTCTTTTTGGGTCAAGGGAGGGGGATGCTTCTTCCTTTTGTTGTGTTTTCTTTCTTTCTTTTTTTTTTTTTTAAGGATGTTATTTTCCTTTCCTTCTATCTTTCCCTCCTTTGCTGCTGCTTCTTTCGGAAATTACAGTGTTTTATTTTTAGCTGTTTTCTGCTGCACAGGAAAATGTAAGAGTTGCTTGCTGCTAGTTAATTATAGCCCTGG